AAATTTAATTTGATATTTTTTCAAATAAAAAATGGTTAAAACTTGTTCAGTGAAAGGATGCAACTCCAAAGCTGGTCAAGGAATTAAGTTTCACGGGTATTTATTTTTTATTGACATTCTAACAATAAAAAACACATTTTGAAAAAAATTCAATTTTTTTTTTAAATTTTTCTATATGTTTAGACTTCCTAAAGGAGATATTTCTAAGGAATGGATTAAATTTCTTGAAAAAAGTAATCCATCATTTAAGCTAACAAAAACTTGTACCCTCTGTGGGCTACATTTTGATTCTGATTTGGACTACGAAATTACAGCTACCAGTGTATATCAAACTAAGCAATTGAAAAAAAATGCTGTCCCAAGTATCTTAAACCCAAGTAAGTAAAAATCATTAAATGTTGATAAAAATGTATTTGCTTGGTAAAACACTTTGAAAATTTAATATAACCTTCCTCATGAGTTGTACATATACCACATAAAAAATATTGAAACTACACAGTCTTCAAGTTTAAACTTAAAATGTTGATAAAATTGCAAATAATTTTGTTAAAAAAGACAATCAATATTTATTTTTATAAATAAGATTTTAAAATTTAATACAAGGTATAAATATGTTATAAGAACTGAATATTAAAAAATATTTAAACATTTTAGCTGCACGTAGATCATTATTTTGTGAGTCAAATACTGCTTCTAATTATAATGCAGAGGAAGAAGTTGTGACATTGTCTTTATTAGATGCATCTGCTGAACCTTTTGAATCATTAAACTGTTCAATGTCAAGTAAGATAAATAATATTATTTTCACTTTTAATATAATACTTAGTACCTATAGTTAAATTATATTTTTAGGTGTAACAGAGACACTAGACACAGTTATAGTTTCAACTGAAGCCACTGAACAAAATACAGTAGAAACAATATCTAGTACAGAAAAGTCATCATCAGATGTATCTGCTAATAAGTAAGTTCTATAATATTCATAGCATATTGTATAATTTGTATTAGTAGTACAAATGTATCAATTCTAGCGCAGTTATCTTTAATTTCTATTTAACATATTGTGTTTAATTTCATATAAAATTAAAATTAAGAAAACAATTTACCACAATTACTATTTTAAACAGAAATTAATGATAATTGTACATGGATTGTTGCCTGTTGGCACATATATACTACTTGTATTCAATTACAATGTATTTAATTTAATAAAAATATATAATTTCTAAATTCAATTTTACAGAAAGAGAAAATGTTTTGTGGGTGATTTTAAACATATTAATGAAATTGATACCCCTAACAGAAGGTTGCAATTTTGGAATGCTTCACATGCAACTGTAGAAAATCAACGAAAACGAATTAAGTTCCTGAATAAAAAAAATTTATTATTGACTAAAAGAGTGAAGACATTAGATGATTTAGTGAAACATCTAAAGGATGAAAAAAAAATGATATCAGATAATTGTTTTACAGTTCTGAAGGTATGTATTATACTATTGATTTAATTAAATAGGCTGTATTTACTAGTGGGTTATAAACATTTAGGAAACATTGTCAAGTAGTCTGCACGAAATGGTGATGAATCAATTACATACATTTTCAGGGAACACAGTGACCCCAGAATTACGATCTTTTGCACTCACATTGCATTTCTATTCACCTGCAGCATACAATTATGTGAGAAAAACATTCAAAAAATGTTTGCCTCATCCAAGCACTATCCGTAAGTGGTATTCCACTATTGATGGGTCTCCAGGAATTACTCAAGAATCGTTGAATGCCATTGCAATAAAAGTAACTGAAATGAA